TAATATCACCACAGAAATAGACTACAGATATTTCTGTAAAGATTGACTGATAGCTTATGGATCTGGGCTACTATACGGGCAAATAGAAACCACAAAACACTGTAAACCATCCTCATACATTATTACAAGTTCTGGAAAGTGCTGTCAGTGAAAAACAAAAGGACTGTGGCAAGAAATGCCTTACCAATGTCTTCAAGTTTTTTTTTCATTGATGCATATATATATTTACACACAATCTGGTTGTCTCACAGAGACAAAGGAATCCAGTAGCAAGTGGATCAACAACCATTCACTTGTCTCCTGTATTACATGGCTGGGAAGATGATTACCTATGTGCATTGTACCAAGATCTGATAACTGCAGCCAATAGGCAGGACCTGTTCTATTGTTGCACCTGATGAAATGCATTTAAATATTTTGTTGCCTTCATCTGGGACAAAGCATTCTGACAGATGACTATCTGTAAAAGTAACAATTATTTTTACTTCACCTTATGAAGAATGCTGCCATCAGCTTTACTGTTTGAGTTTGGATTTTTTGTGCATAAAAATCATTAGTGTATAAAATCTACAGCCTTTCGGTATGTTTGTGAACTCTGCTTAATATAATTACACATAATTATGTGAGTATGTATGGTTGATGTGAGTGTCAGTGGATGTTTTCAAGTGTGAAAAGAAATGCGTGTGACTGTACGAATGTGTGTGTCTGCAATACTAAATTTGAAATAAGCAATTTGAAATTGCAGTAAATATAGTAATAATATTCTTACTTAGCTAATATCTACCTTCCTAACATATTTTTGGACTTCAAGCAAGCAACCAATATGGTACATTTTATCAGTAGTATTACTGTGGTAAGCAGATATAATTGCTAACAGATGTTCTGATCAGAATGTATAGATGTTAGATGATTCTGTGATATAATATATTAAATGTGCTATGATTTTAATCCCCTTGCAAACTTAAACACACATTCAAGTAAAACAGTGACTAAACCCAACTGCCATTTCACATTAGTATATGTAAAATAGCTGAAGAAAAATTGCATTTACTCATATCTGAATGAAACATGACTTTGGGTCATGCACAACAAACATTCTCTTGGAATCAGTTGTCAGTACATGCTTCCAATAAATAATTTTTTAAAGTCTACAATAGTCCTTCAGCAATCACCTTAACATAAAACTTTATACTTAAAGTTTTTCTCACCTAACTAAAATTTGTTGTTTTGTTTGCTATGGGGTCAACTTAAAAAAAAATGTTTGAAAAATTATGTTTAAAATAACAGGGCTATATATGAGTACACTAGTCACTGCCTATTGTTTCTGACTTACAGGAGAAAACTCAAATATATATAGTGTGCAAGGGGATGAAGCATGTGGAAACAGAGAAAAAGGAAAGAGTAAAATGACAGAGAGAGACAGAAAAAAGAAGGCCACCCTGAACCATAATAGTTAACAGTGAAAAAATCTTCTCATGTACAACAAGCAAAATATAATGCTGCCTTTGAGCACCATACAAATGTAAGCATATTAGCAACCAGTTAAAAGTTAGTTCATGATATTCTCTTACTGGCATGACTCAGTCATATATGGATTTTCAGAAAATAAAGAATAAGGATATGAGCATGACTAGAAACATCAACAAGGAAAGGTGTTAGAATTGATTAATCTTTACCATATCATAACAATAAAGTTACACTGATTTATCATAGATAAAGAAAAATGGTATGGACACTAATAAAAAAGTATGTAAAATAAAGTCAAATCCCCTGAAGACTAATGAGCAACCATCTCAAAAAAATGAAAGAAAAAGAGAAAAGAATACCAAGAAGCAGATGATCTTGAGTATAAGCTACATGTCTTCATTCCTGCACTGTTAGTTACCTTGGCTGAGCGCATCAATTAAGCTGTGAATTATTTCTGACAGATTATTTCAATAAATATAATAACTGAAGTTTACTTCCAACTTGGAATATTCTAGATAAGATGAGAGCAAAATTCCCTTTAGTTCTTAAGATTTCATCATGAGTGAGAAAGTAACTCTTGTAATGCAATCATTCTTATGGACAAAAGGACTAAGGTTAAACTTTTTTCATTACAATAACCATTTGTAAAAAAATCAAAATGTATTTATATATCTGCAGACACAAAGACACACACACTCAAATACATGCTTACATATACATGGTCACATACATGTGTATATGACTTACTGTATGAATAAAAGCAAAATACTCTAAAAAAGCAACTGCAAATTGGCCAAAAGCAGTTTTACACATATTCCATCAAATTTCAGCATCATACATGTTGCAATTATGTCTTTTCATATATCTTTATTCTAAAAACAAAAATCGGTATTAAAAAGTTAAAAAGTAGCTGTGTGCCAATAATCAGCATGTGTAAGAACCAGGTTTATATTGCACTAAATGAAGTTGCATAAATATCCCAAATGTGAGCAATTTTGAGTGACAGTAGTCAAAGAAATACTATTTATGCAGTCAGAGGAAGTGCTTAAAAAGAAATATTTTGCAAATCACTCCATAACACTGCAACAGGCATTGGTATATAGAAAGGGAAACACAATATTACATTGGATTACTTCAAATAGTAACAAATACTTTGTGCTTGTTAAGAGTTTATATTGCTATGGTGGGTTAAACTGTACTGTCACCCATATTATATAATATAGTAATTGGTCTTGTGAGTAAACATCAAGTGTTCTGTTTCACAATACATGTGTTGATTAACATTATTTGTATTATGATTGTCCAAAGACTGGAAGGTATTGTTTAATAATAAAAAAATACAAGCACCATAAAACAAGCTAAAATACTGAACAGCTTTGCCTAAACATAATTATTTTAATTAATATGCTTGATATTCAATATCATTGCATTTACAAAATAAACTTATCAAACCAACAATAGCCACTTAGTGCATGGAAAGAAAACAAAGATATCATACTTCACAGAATCAGTAAAAGCTACCATAAGATTTGCCACAAGCTTCCACTTACATATCTTCACAATTCCAACTTTGAGAATAAATAGACCTTGCATGTTTTATTACCCTTGAAAGTAAGTGTGATGCAAAGGGTGTTAAGGACGTGATCGCCGAGAAAAAGAAAGAGTTAAACATTTATAGGAAATGACTTTGTCCAACTACTCCATTTAAAAAAGGAGTTTTTTCTTTTTCTAACTGCTGTAATATCAGTCATGCCCTTCATTGAACAACTGGTCAGTAATGATGATCTCAAAGCAAGTCATTTTGACTTTTTGAGGAAATGGTGGATTCTGAGCCCTAATACAATATTTCTTACCATACATATAAAAACTTTTGAGCAATACTAACCCACAGAGCAAAATGTTGGACCCTTTACTGTGCCCATCAGTGTACATCATAAGGATTGCTGAAAACAGTAAAATTTTGAAAGCTCAGATTTAAAAGGGGAACAGAAACAACAAAAATATCTGTATGTAAACTTTTAAACATCAGTTTTGTTTGTTGTATATCTACTAGACGAACAGATTTCAATGCTAATACCTACTAAAATGAATAAATATCCAGTCCCATTCAGACAACTTGTGCTATCTCTTCAGCAGTTATAGCTAAGTCAGCAAAAGCAGCATCACTTCAGAGTAACAAGATACAGATCTTAGAATTGCATGTGACTTTTTCCATAGTAATCTTGCAGACTTCTAACACATAGCTTACTTGATAATAGCAACAAAATTGCAAGCTGATAATTATTACAGCTTGGTAGATAGTCTATGAACTTGGCCTATAATTGCATGGTTATCAATTAGGTAACACTGATAATAAAAACGCAACCTAGTAAAACTACAGGCTTGAACTGCACTGGCTCCTTTTGAAATTCTCAATACCCTATATTTTATGTCTAATAATCATATTCTATTCAAGCTGGTAAAAATCACAATGTCTACATGGTTTTTGCCTATTGTGATTACACATATGAAAGATCTTTTATTTATTTAGATCAGAATAGTGACTTACTTCATTTTCAGTAACTTTAATAAAGAGATTTGATTTGTTTATAATATGCAATAACAGTTGTTCAATAATACAGATTACAGTGTAGATTTGTGAAAATGTGCTTGTATTTCTGTTCCCCTTCAAAGAAATATGTTACATGATACACAGTGTCTTATTTTATGGAAAGTCATAACTAACTGTCAAAGTGATGGAAGAATTTGTATTCTCAATCTTTATAATATCACAAATCTCTTCAATATATCAAATTTGTATTTAGAAATCATATTACATAAAAAGGGAATTTATCTGCATAAGTTCACACATCAAATTAATTAAATATGAGTTTCCTGCAACTATATTTTACAGTCAAAGATCACAGGATTCTGAGATAGTCTGAGATAAAATATTTTTCATAAAAATTTCCTATACTTAATAAATTATGTTTAATCAATTGTTAATTACCAAAAACTTCTGTCCACTGACATCAATATGATGTTACTTATAAAATAACACTTATGAAAAAAGGTTAAAACATGATAAATACCAAAGCTCATAGTAAGAAACACTAGATTTTACATATCTAAAAATGCCACCAAAATCTAGTTGTTCTAGCCTTTTAAAGAATGAAAGCTGATATATCTAAAGAGGAAAGTTTTATAAATAGCAACTTAAGAGATTGATACACAAAGACAAAAACATAAGGCAAAAACATAATATAAAGAACAAATTATTTGCCTTCTCAGTCCTGTGTCCGGTCTGGGGAATAAGAGCATTTGCAAACCCTATCACAGTTCACACTTCACAGAAACAGTCAGAATACTTAGGAGAATTGCATCTGCTCATCAATATGGCATTAGTGTATTAACAAATGTAAACTTCCTCACAACAACTTCCTTTGGACACTGGTACACTGGTAGACACTGGTGGAATATCAGATTCATTCTATAACTGTTTCTCATGTGGGTGATGCCCACCAGCATCTAGAGCTCAACCATATGCTGGTAGT